GTAGAATTTAATGTCATTATTGTAAAAAGTTTGGTCATACGAAGGCAGATTGTTGGAAAAGAGAAAAACAAGCAAGTTATGTAGAGGAAAATAAAGAAAATAGTAAGTTATTTATGACTCATTCATAAGTTCATAATATCTCAAATGATATTTGGTTTCTGGATAGTGGATGTTCTAATCATATGTCTGGCATAAAATCAATATTTAGAGATATTGATGAAACTCACAAGTTGAAAGTTAGACTTGGAGATAGCAAGCAATCCAAGTGGAAGGGAAAGGAACAATTGAGGTAAAGACAAATCAAGGGAAGGTAAAATACCTTGATAATATTTTCTTTGTTTCTACTTTATTACATGACTTGTTGAGTGTTGGACAATTAGTAGATGATGGATATTCAGTAATATTTGATAATGGTTTATGCACTATTAGAGATAAAAAAATTGGTTTGATTATAGTAAATGTTTGCATGACACAAAACAAGATGTTTCCACTTGATATGTCAAATATTGAAAGACATGCGCTTATCACAACTCAAAAGAATGAGTCTAGTTTATGACATTTAAGATATGTACACCTTAACATTAAAGGTTTAAGATTGTTAAGTCAAAAAGAAATAGTTTTCGGATTGCCCAAGATTAATACACTTGATGTATGTGAAGGATGTATTTATGGCAAACAAAGTAAAAAACCATTTCCTATTGGAAAAGCATGGAGAGCATCTAATTGTCTTGAATTAATTCATGCTGACTTATGTGGGCCTATAAATACAAAATAATTTGGTGGAAGTCAATATTTTCTATTGTTTATGGATGATTATAGTCACATGAGTTGGGTATATTTTTTGAAATTGAATTCTGAAATATTTGATAATTTTTGAAAATTCAAGGCACTTGTAGAAAGGCAAAGTGGTAGATATATAAAGACACTTCGGACAGATAGAGTTAGTGAATTTTTATCTAATGAGTTTAATTCTTTTTGTGAAGAAAATAGTATTCATAGAGAATTGACAACACAATATACACCAGAGCAAAATGGTGTAGCTAAACATAAGAATCGAACCGTCGTTGAAATGACAAGAAGTTTGCTTAAAAGAAAATATTTTCCAAATCAGTTTTGGGTAGAAGCAGCTGCAACAGCAGTTTATTTGTTGAATATTTCACCAACAAAGACTGTTATGAATCAAACTCCTTTTGAGGCTTGGTATGGTATGAAACAAAGTGTTAGACATCTAATAATTTTTTGTTATATTGCTTATGCTTTGGTGAATTCATAAAATCATCACAAGCTTGATGAAAAATCTGAAAAATATATTTTAATTGGTTATTCTTTACAATCGAAAGCATATCGATTATATAACCCTTTTAGTGGCAAAGTTATTATTAACAAAAATGTTATGTTTAATAAAAGGGCAAGTTAGAATTGGGAGACCAATAAAGATGGAATACAAATGCAGATTCCAGCAGAACTAGACACTCCACAGAATCAAATGACAAATCCTGCTCCAACAAGTTCATCGTCAATCTCACCCAATAGCGATTCAAATTCTGATTCCTCAGATGAAACCCCTCCAAGAAATTTCAGATCACTGACAGAAATTTATAACTCAACATTTGCTTTGTTTATTTCAGATCCAACAACTTTTAAGGAAGCAGTTAAAAAAGAGGAATGGAGAAAAGCAATGAAGGAGGAAATCAAGTCAATTGAGAAGAATGAAACTTGAGAGCTAATGGATCTACCGAAAGAAAAGAAAGCGATTGGGTTAAAATGGGTGTTCAAAATAAAATTTAAATATAAATTATTTGGTTTCACTAATAGTGATTGTGCAGGAGCTTTAGATGATCGAAAGAGTACTTCAAGCAAGTGGAGTCATAACAATGAAGTATTATGGAACGGATGAACAAGTTGCGGATATCCTCACCAAATCACTTCCAATTCAAAAGCATGCTTATTTTATATCGTAAATTGGTGTATGCAACTATGAATCAAGGGGGAGTATTGAGATTTGATTCATAGTTATCTATCTAGATAGTTATCATGATCTAGTGGTTACATGATGATTTCAATAACCACCTCAATCATGATCTAGTAGTTATAGGGTAGTTTCAATAACTACCTCAATCTAGTAGTTATAGGGTGGTTGTCACTAGGTCCTATAAATAGGATCGTAGTTTATGAAGCAAGGGATATAGAGAGTGTGTGCACTTAAAAATATTTTGTAAGTGTTCTTGTAAATCCTCCTGTTTTTAAATACTACATCAATTTTCTTGAATCGAAAGGATTCTTTTTACTCGTATCGCAGTATTTTATTTTTTCCTTGCTCCTCCATCCCCAACAAAGATGTCGTCAGCGATGACCTGAAGGAGCATGTATGTTCTGTTGCGAGATGTCATGAACGGTCGTCGCACACCCGTAACAACTTCGTTCAACGAATCGTTCGTCACACTCATCTACATGTACAGCTGCTTGGCAGCATGTTTTGTCTTGGTTTTGAGTCATTTTGCTTGTAAAAATATAAGTTCGAATAAGTTGTAGTGCTACAAAGCGATCGCTCACCGAACCGAGCAAAACAGTCCCAAAATAACTCTGTTTTCGTGTGCCACGGGCTATTTTCTGTAGTCCTCTTCCGCTCACCAAAACATCAGTCATCTCAGCCCCTTTGAACCCCCCGAGTGACATAAGGCTAGATGGGGCTTCGGTATAGTATCGGGCATTGAACAACCTTTCGCAAGTTTGCACGTTACCTTGATGGGAACTTGTTGTCGCGCCCGGCACCCGATGAGCAGCTGTTTATGGACTTGCAACTGTTCATTCAACTCTTTAAAGTCCTTGTTTTCTCCCTCTCTCTCTTTTCTCTTATGCACGTAAGGTGCTCGTTGAATTGCTTATAAAGCTTCCCCCTTTCGCGAGACGTCGGGACTTGTTCGTCACTCATTCTTTCGAACTAATTAACTTTCTCTTTTATAGGTCCTTCGGGACCTGTGAGAGGTTGCAAGTGGACCGATCTTTGTGGAGCAATATCGCAAGGGCGAAGCGTGACTTAGGCAAGGCTAGCTAAGTTCGCGTCTTTGCTGCAAGGGTGCCTCACGACTTAGGCAACACAAGCTAAGTTCACGTCTTGACCGCAAGGGTACCTCACACCTTAGGCAATTCCAGCTAAGATCGTGATAGAGTGGTGCTTGTCACAGCGATCAGGATGGGATAAGTCACTCCACTGCAGTGTTGGGTAGGGAACCGTTGCTATTTGTGAGAGAGCTTGTCACAGTTGGGTAGGGAACCGTTGCTACTCCGCTGTAGTATAGTTCTCAGGGAATGATTGCAGGAGTAGCTCATCTTCTTTGCACCATATATCTGGGATGCTACACTCATTCGTCTCATAAGGGATGATAGCAGCGTTGTTCCTTACTTATCTTTGCTTTGAGGGAGAAGAGGGGAGAGGAGAGGAGTCTTCGACATTGGAAGTATTTGGTTGCAGTCTGCCACAACGATCATTGCAATTTGTGAGAGAGCTGCAGTTCTTACCATGAGGAGGGTAGAGGGTCTTAAGGCAGATCTGTGAGAGATCTACAGTTCTTACAAATCTGCGGTTCTTATCATAGATTTGTGAGAGATTGACTGGAGGAGGAGGCTAACTTCGGTTAGCAGTCGACTCCAGTGAGGGGCAGGGAGGTGGTTTGCTATTGCTGGCGAGGATAATGACATGGATGGAGCAACATAAGATGGCGTCGAGTAGAGAATAAGAGGGGTTCGTCGGCAGATTAGGTGGTTGGTGGAAAAATGAAGCAACAATGTGGATGGAGTGCAGTGTCGGTGAGGGAAGAAGCATCGGTGTTTGCAGCGCTAGAGGCACCAACGCAAAGTTGCAGCGGGAGAAGACAAGCACCATTCACCAAGGAAAAAGGAGAGAGGGTCCTAGGAGGGTGACAAGGTTGGTGAGGAGTTGGACAACTAGAAGAGTTCTGGGTAAACAGTTTTGATACCATGGTAGAATATAAAATATAATTACAAAGTATGTTTGAGATAGTGAACTTGATAACTATTTATATATATTAGTAGAGAGGATTTTTCTCAACTGCTCGATATTTTCTATGAGAAAATCTTATTTATAATTAGTCACATCCCATATACTAGAGTACCCCATTGATTGAGATCGACGATGAGTATAGTTTGGGACCGGTGCTCCCAAAGAAACGACGATTGGGTGACAAGTTGAAATTGAAGATCGTTTTAGATTTACACATTAATCGTTGGATAAAATAATTATGACCAACTTGTTCGCGACCATATCTTATGTTATCGTACCCACAATCATATTAAATTAACTTCACATATCTCAATAAGAAAAATATTTATTATAATCATAGGACAACCATATGACTCGGAGGATCCTATGAACCACGTAAGCCTTAATTCAATATAAAATTCTAAAAAAATAATTTACTCATATCATAAAATATTTATTTATATTAAACGATAATCAAGATCCGTTTATACTAAACCATGGAAGATCTTCTCGATATTACCTGAGTTTCTTAAGCAGGATCCAACTAGATGAGACTGCTTCAAACATCACTAACATCTCTTACATCTCCTACGTCAGCACATTATCTGCATTGTGTGCGATGTAATCCAATTTGATGCAATTAAATCCACCAGAAAACTCGAATACAGAAGCAGATTAAACTACTACATGATTCAACGATGGGTCAACGGATGAAGGATACGATTCCAATGCTACGTCACCCACCCGTAGTCATAAGCACATGGGCGGGCCACCGGCACGTAGCCAACGAGAAGCGCAGCGAAGTGGTGCACATGGGTTGGGCTCGGACGACGACGACGCGTTCAACCATGCTTTTGGCTCCCGCTGCAATGTGGCGTTGATTTTGATTGCCAAGTTGGTCGAGTTCGAGTGCGGTCGATTTGCCCTTCACGACTTGGTTACAAGTTATAGCACGACTCAACGTGGTTAGCCACCGCGACGCCACGAAGCGAGTCGGTGCTTCGTCCCATCTTCGTCAGTACACGCATCCGACGCCCCACCCCATTCCCATTTCCAGTGCCGCGCTTCCTCTGTAGCCGCCAGCCATGGAGGTCGACCCGCCGCTCGATCTCGCCCCCGTTCTCGAGGCGGCTTCGGAGTTCGCCTCTTACCCCGGTTCTTCCCCGTCTGCTCATATTCTATTCTCTTCCTTATCCCATTCCGTCGCTCGATCCTTAATCTTGGAATCGCTCGCAGGATTGCAGAACGATGCTTCCGCCAAGGAGTTCCTCGATCGCTTCCCCCTCCATACGCTCTTCAGGTTTATCCATCCCCCCTTCTCTCCTTTTCCTTCCCCTATTTGTTTACGGCTTGATGCGGGGTGTTTCCAGTTCTTTTCTCGTTTCATTTGGGTGCTAGGGTTTCTCAGATAACATCGCACTCTTACTTAGCCCTAAACATCACTCGATGTTTCTTTTCAAGTTTCTTTTCGCATTCCTTGAACAAAAATCTCTCGTCCGGAATAAAGAACACTTGAAATCATAGCAATTTGATGGCAAGCAAGTCATTGGAGCTAATGCAGTCAGTTGTGTTCTCCAGAGATTTGAATGGGTGGATCATATGGATTTGTTTGGAGAATATATCGTTTCCTTTGCTTGACTATTTTGTACTATACTATTTCTTTGCAGGTGTGGTCTCTGTTTGATGTTTCTTCGAGGGCAATTGATTTCAGAGTGCTGTGTTTGTAATTTAAATTACAACTCCAACTAGTAGTAAATCTGAATAATTTTGGTTCTGTCAGCCGAGTCCTCTGTTAAGCAGTTTATCTTTGTCACGAGCTTGGTGTCAATCAGTATACATGCAATATGTGTTGTTCATTGCTTCCTTCAAGCAACCATGTGCAACTTGGACAGAATTGATAAAGGGGAATCGAGAGTTTTGACTTTGATCTGCCTTTTTATTTTTCTTGTCTTTGCAGTGTTTTACAAACCAAAGCAGATGTACCTGGAACTGAAGACACTATGGTTTCTTGTTTAGATAAAATATTCAGAACAAAATATGGCGCCTCTCTTCTTCTAGACTATGCCGTAAGTGCTAAATTATGTATTATCCAGTTGTAGTCGTGATATTTTGATAGCTTGTTTAACCTGCTTATGAGGAACAGATTTTCTGTACATTCAAGACTTGAATGTACAGAAAATCTATTGATAAAAAGTAGCCTAATTATATATGATGCTTGACATTATTTCAATACTATAAGATTCTGAAGAACTTTGATGTTGCAAACAAACCAAGTTGTTAATGTTAATTGATATTTTGATTAATTTAAGATAATGTTACATAATGTCTGGTTTACAACAATATTACTCAAGAAAACTAAGAGGGTAGATTAACGAGAACATGTAGTTAAGAGAAAACTCTAGTCCTTGGTCTGACTTTGGGAGAACCAAGTTGTTAATGCTAATTGATATTTTTATTAATTTAAGATAATGCTACATAAATCTGGTTACAACAATATTACTCAAGAAAACTAAGACGATAGTTTAACAAGAATGTGTAGTTTAGAGAAAACTCTAGTCTGTGGTCTGACTTTGGAAGAACCAAACAAACTTGGTGTTAGTAGATATAGTGAGAAACATTTGCGAAATTTTCTAGTGTTGTAGCTGAATCTTTTATGTTAGGCGACTTTTAATTAGTATATACAGGTGGGAGACCTTTTGGCTGAAGGTAATTCTTACAGAATTATCAAACAATCAAAATCATTTTCCTCGTTGGCTTTGTAGTGCAAAAATGGTCCACATGCAAGTTTATAGTTATCAATGTTGATTGCAGAGATTAATATTTTTTTTCTTCCATTTGGAGGTATTCTTGACATTTTCTATTTGATTCCTCCCTTTTATTCCTCTCTTCTCACCATTTCTTTTCTTCTCGTTTGTGTTCCTAATTGAAAGACATTTAACTATTTTGTAAATTGTAATGGATTTAATTTAGCCTTGCTATAAATTTGGAAAAACCCTTCTTATAAGCAAAAATCTCTAGTTCTCATTTGTATGTGTGTGTTTTAAAATGATGCTCGGGCGAGGTGATGCACAAATGCCTCGCACAGTTGTCGGGCGATAGTGAAGTGTTGCTTGGGCGCTCGCCTAAGCCCAGGTGTCGGGTGCCTCGGGCGAGCGCCAGGTTGAACGTGAGCAATCAAACCAGATGGTTAACTCTAGTTCGGTTGAACAGTAACTTAGTTGGTTCAATTGAGCCAACTAAGCACAGAAAATAGTAACAAGAACCTAGGTACTTTGTGACCCTCCCCCTCACCCCCTGTGTGACCCTCGACCCATAAACCTAGGTACTTTGTCGCCCTGACTCACCTTTGGTCCCATCGCCACCTTCATGCGATTCGTTACCTCCGTCGTCGATGCACAGGTCCGACGCTTCCTCTGTCGTTGACGAACGAGATCGAAGCTCCCACCGTTGTAGCTTTCGTGTGTAGTTCCCTTTGGCACCGTTGCTTTCATGTGCAGCTTCGTTTGCCACCAAGGGATAGGACCGTAGCTTCCTCCGCCACCAACGGACAAATATGAAGCTTCCTCCGACCCCGACGTCATTGTCCGCAGCTTCCTTCGCCATTGCTGCTATCGTCCGTTGCTTCCTCCGTCATCTTCATCCTCTCCTTCCCCACATTGCACCGTTGGTGACTCATTTTCTCCCCCTCTACTATTATGATTACTGTTGATAGTGGATTAAATACTATTAACAATGAATTGTTCATCGTTAACGGATATTAAAACTACTGTTAAGTGTTAACTACTAGTTTGTTTACTACTGTTTCCAAATAATAAACTAAAAACTGATATTAATCCTTAGAACTGTTGACCAATTTAGAATTTACTAATCCTTATTTAGCATTGCTAATTGCTATTTAGATTTTTTATTATTCTTTATTTAGCATTGTTAATCTCTATTTATTTAGAATTATTATTAGGGTTTCAGGATTAATGTCATGTGTACAAAGCAATACAGAAGATTCATCAAAAAATTCAATTTAATGTCGTATTTTTATTTATATAATTATATTTATCAATTGTATTATATTTTTTGTATTTTAATATTCTAGAGCGTCTCGCTTCGCTCGAGGAGGTGTCTAGGTGAGCGCTTAGTGCCTTGGACATTGTGAGACCTTGGCACTGAACGCTTTCAAAAACACTGATGTGACTGTAGTGTAGACTACAAGACTGATAACTAGTTCTTCCAACTTGATTTTTGCTTTTACTGGAAATTGGTTTTGTTGAAATCTTTCACAAACAGAACACCTGAACTAGTAAACCATAAATCACTTGGGCACTATGTGATCGTCAGTTGGTAAGAAGCAGTAGCAAATAATAGCTACAGTATTTATTTGTAAAGCCTAAAACTTTGCTATTTTGTTCTACTTAGTTTAGCTTTGCGACCTGATTACATTTGGGGGCCTAAGTAGCTCGAATTAAGTGCTCTCTTTCAATATCTTCTTTCTCATTGATGTTTAGCTCTTTTGTTGATACTACTTGGCCGTGCAACACCTGCTATCATGTGGAGCTTGATTTTAGAACACAAGAAGAAACTTCAATTGTAGGGAAACAATACGAATGACTTTTATGATACATATGATACAAGAACTCCTTAGAGAAATGGAATGAATGTTATTAGCAGTGTTCACAATTTTGTTAAATCATTTTTAGGTTATAAAGGTATAGCTTTATAATATCAGTGATATACGTTAATTATCTTTTTTCCTCTCTTTTTTTTTCAGCCATTTATACAAGTAGGTCTACAGGCAAATTCTCAGGCTGTTAGACGCTTGGCATGCAAAGCTGTATGTGTTGCAAAGAATTTTCAGTTTATGTTGTTACTGAGTTTGACTAATCAATTCCATTCTTTCCTGTGCTTTGCCTAATTAGCCTCTAAGCGGGGGCATTTGATTTCAGTTTCCTTTTGTAATGTAGCAATTTGATGTGGCCATGAAGGCATGTGATCATGAAAAGAGCTATGAAGAACTTTTTTCTTCATTTTTTGAAATTTTCATGTGAATGTTTGGCTGAGAAATTGGATCAAAGTAGGCATATTTTCATTCATAGAAGACAACAACAATTTTCCAGATGTTAAAACATTGACCTTCTGATGATTCATAAATTCAAGTTTGCATTTGCACCTATTATCTTACAATGGAAGTTCTTGCACTGAGGTTGACATGCTGGTTGAGTTATAAATCGTTTACCAAATGTGCATCTAGATAGGGCTTAAATGCAGATTTTCTTGTTAATCTCATGGCACAGAGATTTTGCTGCTACAGCTTGCAGTTGCACAGTAGTGCTGTCTAGCCAACCCATTGGTACAAGAGGAACAAGGCGTGGTTTACATCTGCTGATATCATTAAACATCCTGTTGTGAATACTGCATCCTGGTTCAGTTTTGAATAAACCGCACCAAGTTATGGCCTGTACGCAGCCTCCTAAATCCCATGATACTGAGAATTTGCATCTTCCGGTTGCAGTTCCTATGTAGCGACTGTAACAAGTAGGAAGAACATGATACATTTACTTTTGATGATATTATCTAACACTATTAGTTAATACCACATCCTTCAACTACTGCCTATATGACAAAGTACGAATGATGTCTCACTCCAGGAAACCATGTTGTGCTTCTGATAGCATAGATGATATAATGGGGAAGTTATGCAGATATTTCTTTATACTAGGCTTGATATTTGTTATAGTATTCCGTTTAATATCTTAACAGCTGTTATTCTAAGAGGTAAAATTGTTACCAAATTGCAAGACTTGATTAATTTCTAACCTTGTCTCAGGTATCTTATCTTCTGGAGAACACTGGTGACAGGGTGGGTGCTCTCCAGATTATTGTTGCGTATAATGTTTATCCACTTCTGCTTAGCTGCTTAGTTGATGGGTACGCCACAGATCACTTCGTCTCTGTTTGTTCCAGGCTGCTTTCATTCTTTTTGGTGAAATGGTGTTTCTTTTCATGGTTAAATAATTCCTTGAAATCTACAGAAATGAGTTGTCTTTTTACTAAGATTTGCTCTTACAACTGTCATCAGGAGCGATGGTCACAAACTATGAAGAAACATCAAACCTTTGATCATAATATTTAAAGTTTTTTTTTTGTTGTACCACTGCATATCCTTTTTGTCGCATTACTTTTCTCTTCTCCAATGTAACTTATTGGCAACTTAGAATTGAAGCATCATTTTTTTTTATATGACATGAAGAAGAATGGAAGATGGCCACAAGGGTTCAAGTACCAGACCATACTATAGTCTATAGTATTCACTAGTCTGACCCTATAAACCATTACAACATGCAGAATGCCAACCGACTCAAAGAAATGCTTGCTTCTCCAGTCTATATCTTTGTTTATGATGCCATATTAACTGATTATGGATTGGTATTTAAATCTTTGGTTATATAATCCAAGGAACTCCGTGTTTGATAACTGATTTTATATTGAAACAAGATGTGCTGGGCTTGAAAGATGGGAAGGGGCTTGAAAGATGAAATAGTTATAATTGTAATTTCAGAAGAGGTTGTTGCATGTTTCAGCTTATGTAACTTCAGCACAATACTTATTTTGCCCTATGCTCTGGTAATTCACATGGGTGAATTTCCATAACTATTTCTTGGTTAGTATTTTTCATACATTTACTTGCTGGTTATGCACTTGAATCTGTCACATTTAATTCATGCTGGTTGGCATGTATTTACCTAAGTCCTTCTATCGATATCATATCACACTTCCTTTTTAGTACATAATTTTGTAGTTTTTGTTAGCAATCATTTACATTGTGAATGTGGGTGATCGTATGTGAGACGGGGAGTAACGAAAAAGACAAAGAAGAAAACAGTCCAAAGTCTTGTTAATCAACAACAGCTGTGCAAGTAGATGCCAGACCTCTTCACTGAAGTTACACATGGAATAGCTCAATTTCATTCTATGGTCTTTTTTTTTCTTTATTGTAATACTTGGTTTGGTCCAACTATTGATTTGCCATTTCTATTGCAATAGTGACAAATTGCTGTCAACAAACACCTCTTTTCTTGTGCACAGTTCTTTGATGTGCCATTCCCCACCTTGTATTGTCGACATTTTCTCCAAAAGAAGTATTATTTTAAACTTTTTCTGTTATATATTACCTTATCACAGTGATGAACAGACTTCAGCAGCTTCTCTTGAAGCAGTTAAAGATATTGCTCAATCCCCTGAAGGAATTGTAAGTCAAGCTGTTGCATAAATTTATTATGAGCAGTTTCATCGTACTTTTATCGATGGCAGCTTAATTTGATTATTCATCTTTTTCACATTGGTTTTTCTCAGAGCATCATTTTCCCAGGCCATGGTGAAGGACCTTTTCTAATAAAAAATATAGCCGTGCAATCCTCTTCACTGGTATTGTAGTCTTCTTTTTGAAGGGTCCATGTCTCCAAGTTTCTTTTTCTGTTTTGATTGTTCCTGTTTCTTGGGGCCTATCAATTACTGCAGCTAACCTTACTCAAGCATATCATGCATGCATTTTTTTGTTTTTTGTTATTTTGATGTTATGTAGAAGATACATATGAAGTCCACAACAATGTTGGTGCTAACCTGATAATCATCTCAGCTTGGGATGTGTTCATATGTTTCAAAACAGTTAATCTATTATTTTTCATTTTCTTGGGAAAATTTAGTTACCTTCAGAATTTATGTGGCAGCTAATATTCTCATGTTGATCATTGATCTTACTTGTCCAAAAGAACCTGTGGTGGATCAACAACCTTATGCATATAAAGCAGCATGGTAGTCTAGCATGGAATCTGAGCTTGCTTCTCCCTTTGATGGGGAAGAGGATCTCCATTTCTTAAAAACAGAAAAATGAAACTGAAGTTTGAGCTTCTGCTTTATTTTTCTTTGCAGACCTCTGCTTTCTTCTCTCAGCTGGGGTTATAATTTATTTAGTATTGAGAATTGCAAACCAATCTGAGCATGTAGTGCCATCATTGTATAAGTAATGCTGGTTTTACAACTTACCTTATGACAAACATTGGATGTGGTGCCACTTTTGATGCTTCAACTTCTTTGTGCAACTTGGTTGATTTAGCTATTAAATCATGATCCAACAGGAACTTGGAGATACTTGCAATAAGTCCTTGGTCCTTCTTTGTCAACTTGCTTGTTGTGCTCAATATACCTTAAAATTCTTACTATATATATTTTTTTCTTGTTTTCATTTTTCATGACGCATTGGCAATATTTTAAGGTTTTCATCCAAAGTATCAGTTCTTGTTGCATGTTTCAGGCCCGTATACGGATTTTAGCTCTTGTAGCAAAGTTATTCGCTCTTTCTAGCTCCCTTGCTACTGCAGTTTACAGCTCGAACCTGCTCAACTTGTTTGAGGTAGAAATTAACAATGGTCATGATATGTTGACAACTTTGAGTGCTTTGGAGCTTTTATATGAGGTAGGAACCATAAAATTTGCTGTTTTCTTTTTTAACTATTGAAAGTTGTTGACTTGTTAAAAATTGTGTTAGTTTCTGACTTTCTGCTACTTCTTGTCTCTTCATAATCTTTTTTCGTCATGAACATATTATCCCAGTCCATTTCTAATTGAATTGATTGGAAAATACAAATATGTTCCAACTTTTCTTTTGCATCGGTAGATCATTAGCTGCTTGCCAACCTGTAACTAGATTGTGTTGTCTCAATTTGGTGCTTGACATGCCAATTTAGTACAACATTCACCAAAAATTAGGCTTTTAGTTTCGTTATCTTTGATGCAATTTTTTTCATTTTCGTTAATTTCCAATTATCTTCTTAGTTGATCCTATCCCGTGGATCCTGGTTCATATGGTCAGTTATGATCTTGTAAACCTAGCTATTAGCCATGGTTCAATAATTTGACAATTCCTGATCCAATGTGGCTGATTTGATTCAGGATCGACCAATTTTTATCCTCTATATACTGATTTGTCATCTTATCAGCAAATTTCAGTGGGAACTCATGAGAATAGGCTGATGTAGTTGATTTTAGCTGATCATTTACTATGGAGGAAGAACTGGAAGAACAAGAGAACGAGGAAGGCAAGAAAAAAGAAAAAAAAGAGGCCGTAAAGAGGGAGAAGGTGGGGAGGGGAGGGAGGAGGAAGCTAAAAATCTCTTTTATCATTGCATTATGTAATTTGGAGAAGGAGAAGAAGAGAAGGACGAGGAGAGGAGAGGAACAGACTAAGAAGCAGAGGAGAAATATCTGGGTGTGGCGAGTCGGATGGCAACTGCGGGAGGTATGAGCAGCCAGGGAAGGAAGTATCCTGCGAACTAGACCAGGCGGAAAGCCATGTTTCGTATGTTGGTTCTGTCTCTAACTGTTAAATATCGTCTTGTACGTCCTAGTCTGGGAAAAGTAAGAACCATATTGGGTATATACTGTGACCACACTTTACCCCTACGGCTTTGTTTTGTTTCCATTACTCTGTGAATTTTAGAGATTTGTTTTTGACATATGTCGAATAGATAACTGTCTGTTTGTTGTTTTCTTATTTAAATATATGGAATTTATTATTTTTAATCTCCTGTTTTTATAGTTTTTACAAATTTGTAACCTCCTGATCCACACCCTTGGCTGATCCTAATCGTGATCTTGATCTTGCGAATATTGATGTTAGACATGATGATTGGTGGTTGTGCGATTAAATGCACATTCTTGTTAAGATTTAACAAGAATAAAATCCGAAGGGTTTACAAATTTTACAAAGATCATTGCACTTTCATAGCTCAATGATCTTTGTAAAATTTACTATGCATTTTTTTACTGGCATTATTCTCAACATTGCCTATGCATTTTTAATAAGCTGAAATGACTTTTCCATATTCATACTTTCCCTAAGATTTTGGGGCAGATTCAAGTTATGTTATGATTTTCTAGAGTTTGGAAATCTTGAGAATCTCACAAATTGTTTGATTATATTGCCTTGAGTATTCAAGTTATCCTATCCTGATCCCAGGCCCTTGCTGATCCTAATTCTAACCCTGATCTTGCATACCTTACAATTTGTCAACGATGTGCGATTGATGTTAGACATGATGATTGATTATCATGGGGTCAAAAGCACATTCTGATGCATAATTGAATTAACTGAAAGGATATTTTAACAATTATACTGAACCCTATTATTTTTGGCCAAATTCAAGTTATGCTATGATTTGTTGAGGTTTTGGAATATTTGAGAGCCTTAAAAATTGTTTGAATATGTTATGTTTTGTACTTGCATTGTTCTGAGACTTGTGTCTGAATTTTCTTTTCAAAGATTATATTGAACTTTTTGTTTCTCCGTAGTTAGTGGAATCTCCTCACAGCAGCATGTTCTTATTGAGAACGACCTTGCTTCAGAAATTAACTAGTATGGTCAGGTACGGCTTTAAATCTTATTAAGATTTTGGTGATTGCCACTTCCTTCTAATATTTAGTATTGCATCAGCAATTCATCAGTTGATTCAGTGTTACGATCAAGAGCAGCTTTGATTAGTGGAAGGATTCTTTCCTCATCCGATGCCTATACAGCTGTTGACATATCAAGTAAGAGTACCCATTTGTATACCATAAAACCCACGCTCCGAAATTCTCTTATTTGTTTCTACTCTTTCAGGGTATGCCACATTAATATCTGTACAGTGTTTTTAATTTCTTGTTATTTGTTAAGCCCATCATTTGTCTCAAGGAAAACCCTATTAAGCTCGATGACTTTCATGTGGCCCATGAAGTTAAAATCTTATATTTTAAGTCTACTAATCTTGTTCCCGAACTTGGATTTCAGGTGTCACGGCACTGCTTGCGGCCATTGATGAAAGGCTGAAGGTTCTTGGTGGTCAGAATACAGATGAATATGAGAGTGCACTGGAAGCATTAGGTCTAATTGGAGCAAGTAAGTGCATGTTTCAAGTATTTCAGAAATGCTTTTGATGTTCCTAACTACTTCCTCATATAATATTTTGTTTTACAATAAGCTGTTTCTTCTTGAGTTGGTTGGGCCTACTTTGGTCTAATATTGGGGAAAAAGAAAAAGCTTAGAGCTGGTGATATAAATGTACCATGATGTTTGCTGTGCTGAGTTGTACAGTTGGCATGGGTTAGCATAATTCATGTTAGAATGGTAGTAGCGTAGAAGCACCTGTGGTGCTGAGCCATGCAAATGGTCTTGACCTAGGTTTAGGTCAACTTGTGGCATGTGCTGGCTTGCAGAAAAGCGTTGACTGGCATGGCACAGTCTTGCCATGCTGGAAAGGAATCAACATGCCCTAGTGAAGCAGCAACCCTTGATTACGTCCGCCTTACAATCTGTGTGGAACTTGGAACTGTTGCTCTTTCAGTTGGTTGAGCATCTTTAGATGACCATTCAGCAATATTTGGAACTGTGTTAAATAGAAGTGTTTTGTTTTGCATCAAGTTTTCTATTATTTACTCCCATTTTATATATTTGGACCAATCCAAGGTGTGTTAGAAATTGATGATTGATCTTTGAATGATTATAAGTTAGATGTTTGATTGCGGTATCAGTTTATTGACGTTATTAAGATCATGTTTGTACTTTGGCTTCAATTTGTAGGCAGATTGGCATTCTTATGTTATTGTCAACACTATGATTCTCACTTCATGCCATTGAGATTTTTGTGTTGGTATGGTATGCACTGAGGACATGCATACTGTCTTCATTGTTTCTATTGTCAAGACTTGAAAGGAGATACCCAGAAGTGTGGGAACCTGGACATCGATGAAGTTCATCTCATGTTCAACTACAATTATGCCATGTATGTCAAGTTGTAGGGTTGTGAGTTGTGAGCATGGTTAGAATATCATTGTGATATTACTGTGACTGTGAATTGTAATTTTAGCAACTTGGATGTGTGATATTTCTTGATTTGTGGAAATGCATGTTTAAAGTTGGAGCCGTGAATTACCATATATGATGTTCTCTAGGAACTAATAGTATTAGGCCTAAACCTTCTGTGCTCTGTTTTGTGTTTTCAATATAATTCCTTAGTAAATCACAAAGTACTGTTAACATTTTAAAAGGATATTTTGCTTGTTTGATTATGTAAGTTTATGTAGGGTGCAAAAATAGTCGTAAAAAAATGGTGGAACATTTCTCATCATACAGAATTCTTTTTTGTGTTTTTCGTGCTCATGACTTTAAATTCTTTTGATTTTTTAATGAATCCAGAAGGATATGAGCCTGATTGTGTTGATTTTGAAGGTAATCTTATGTGTTCATATTGATATTTCTAGTAAGCCAAGGAGCAACTCTGTTACTTTCAAGTTCGCCTGTTGCAAGACATGTCATAGAATCTGCCTTCGATCGCCATAGTAGAGGCAAACAGTTGGTAATAAAGCAAGTTTCCCCCAAACTCATGCACGCATCTCTCCTCTGATGTTGTCTTTTCCTTTCATATTGCATTATCTGCCATTCATTGTGTTGTAATTAAGTTTTTATGATTCTTTTGTTGTTATCTTCAACTTTGTATTTTTAAAAACAATGTGATTTAGAATTTGAGACTATGATTCTGATCATAATGTTATGATCAAAATTACTTTTTTAGCCGTCGTTGCTAATTTTTTTTAGGCATCTTTGATGTGAACTTTTGGTTTGGTTTATCCAGATTTCAACTGAGTGATTTGTTTTATCTTGTATTCATTACAGTCAATAATCTTCTAAACAGAACAATTTGAACAGACAATCAGGAAAAAGTGGTTTTTCAGATGTCTTGACTGCTGCCTTTTTTTTTTTTGGTTGTTTCAAGGGGGACCTTCCCTTAATGAGAATATAATATATATTGTCTTTTGTTTTTTTGTAGCTAGAACTCCATTAATGATCACTTTCACAGCCAGAACTGTGTTTCTTATCCAGAGTCTGGCCAGAGATATCTGTAAACACACTGATGATATGAATGGATACCAAATTGCAATGCATCACCTAGTAATTCTTTACTTTTTCGCTTGAGGACACACAGTGATGTTTCTTCATTAGTGCAATGTAGCACTAATGGTAGTTAGTGCAAGGTGCATTCACATATCAAGCTAATGGTAGTTACTTGGCTAGTTGGATTTGACACGCTTCTTTTTATGTTTTTGTTTTTGATGGGGTCCTGGTCATAATATCTATTGTAATTATAGATTTATGTTAAGAATGTAGTCTATTTGGTATTAGTTTTGTTAATCGACTTTGCATTTAGGAAGATTTGCATTTCTTTTCTTTTTTTCCTGAATAGTGATATTGAAGTTTATTGAATTGGTGCCAATCTTATTATTAGATGTATTAAATATTAATATCTATTTTTCTTTGTATTTTTCAATCATCATGCTAGTTGTAGGGAGGTGGTCTTGTCTTTATAACATCGTGTGTTTGTTGATCAGGCTGGTTTGCATGCCCTTGCTAGTATTTGTGGAGTTGACCGACCAGAAGATAAAATGTTACTTGACAGTAAGGCAGAGGAAAACCTTAGGCGCCTAATTTATACAGCAGCTGCCAACACTTCGAAGCTGAACCCATCAGTTAGTTCCTTTCTTTAAGTTTCTAGTGAATTTTATGCCTGCTCTATTCTTTCCTCCGCCTGAGAGAAGGTTTACTTTTGGACATGGATTGCTTTTGCATCGTGGATATCCATTGGCCACTGAATGCACTAGGATGCATGGTTTACTACAGATTCTTTCAATATTTCTAGTGAATTTGCATTTTCGAATATAATAAAAATTTTCAGTTGGGTTGACAGGGTCTAATTCTCTCCATACTACGACAGGAACCAGAAATAAGACTGGCTGTAAGTATTTTTTGACAATCTTAAAAAAAAAAGATGCTGCAGCCTCTCAATTGAAAACTAAAGCAGCAGTCGGATTATTTGTGGTGCTGATGTGGCCTTCTATAATTTATGTGGTTAATGAATATTTTGTATTGTCAGTGTTCCTGTCATGTTTTGCTAGCTAATATTATGATGTTAACAGTATTATCATGTTGGTAGTTTATTACAGAAGTATTTTCACATGAAAATGTCAGCTTACTTGCAAATTACAGGGTTATAGATTGATTTCTGGTTTAGTGGTTCGGCCTTGGTGTTTGATGGAGATCTGTTTAAACCCGGAGATTATTACCATTGTGACAGATGCGAAGATCGAGACTGCAAAAACTGGTTTGTTTCTTTCAACTAAGGCTATAATCACCTTCATCCTACTGTGTCTACATGCATATTATATAAGATCTGTTCCGATTTTAGTTCTCGATGATAGTTAAGTTGTGTTAATAGTGCTTAGCTCCTTTTGGGCGACGTGTGCCGATGTGCAACACCTGTAAGGACTAATTTGAAATTATCTGGCGAATCTGAGTGTTCAAAAGAAAACGAAGTGTCTAATCACTTAAAAGAAATACCCAGCCTACTTTGAACTCTTACATTATTTGTGACATTAGCAGAAGTAAACTTTGAAACAACTTAAGCTGGATTTGTTTGGACACAATGACTTTCTCATCCTTGAATCTTTCTGCATTTGTTAAAGGGGCCATTTCTGGTGTATTGTTCTCAATATATGATCATATATTCCAGGTATGGATGCCCGACATCATTGTTGCACGGTTATCAGTACTGCCCTATCCTCTTCGAATTTGCTTCAGGATGCCGCCGTCGCCAGAACAGCAGCAAAGGTATGTTCCTTTATTAGACATGCGAATCAATAAGCTTTAAGACCCAACCTTCTCATAAGATGTAATCGCTAATCGACACACCACAATGAACAAGTGTTTTCGGTGTTTGTGTTACAGTTGCAGGAAGCTGTTAGAAGGGGTCCATACGTCATCAAGGAGCACGTTGAAGCTCAGCCCATCGTAATGACCGCCGAAAGATTTTGAGTGGTCTCCAAAGATTCCAGAGTCCAAATATACCTAGTAAAGTGAAAGCTAGTCCTGATATGTCCCTTTGCTGATGCCGACACCACAATGTTTGCTTCCATTTGTGGGCGTTATGCTAACACAGTTTGGGTTGATGGCTCTTTGTTTCAGTAGTTTCCCTCGTTGTTAGAGCGTTGATTTTTGAGAGCTTTGTCATCCAAGTTATTCAAACCCAAACAAGTTTTCTTCGTGTTTTGACAGGACGAATATGATGCCCAATTTTTGGATTTCGCATCTCATCAAAATGTTTGGATTCCGCTGTGAATGGTAGGTCGATGGTCAAACGACATTGTGAATAGGGTTTGGATTCCTAAGAATATATAGTTTTTTTATTTTATTTTGGATAATAAAACTGAAAGAGCACTTTGTGTTTTCGTATTTTCTTTCTATGCAAACTTAGAGATGTATGTGTTTTTTTATAAAATAATTAAATCTTAATTTTCAGAGTTTTTTCCTTCCATAGGAAAGGTTTTTCATATTTAAATTACTTATTCTCTGACCATAGTTACTCCAGGAATCTTAATAAATTCCTCTTTATTGAATCTTTTTACCCACTTGTACTTTTTTATGCAATATAATTCATATAAAATTTATTTTACCTCCCATATTTTTTATATTTGATTTAGTATTCTAATTTTCTCTTCCTCCCTCATTTGAAGAGTAAATCACAAACTTTGATAAACAAATTTTCTCTTCCAAGAAAGGGAGAATACAAAAAAAAAAACAGTCAAAATTCCCATTATCAAGTAATTATTTTGTTTCTTATTTCTAAAAAATCACTTGATGGAGTCTCCTCCTTTAGATGATGGATTCCAAATTTGTCATCCATTGATGGAGTCTCCTTCTTTAGATCTCTCAACCACGTAAGTCAATTCTTTCTGCATCAAGACAAATGGTTGGGATCAATAGGGGGTCGGTCCCCTGAACCAACCCATCGGTATTACAGCTGTGCCCAATCTCCATCTCCGGTTAGCTTAAACTAGTATTTCGCCTTCTGGGGCCCACCTATCGTCTCCCGTAATGCTCGGTGAGGGAGACCTCTATTCTCACCGGCACTCTTACGTATCCAAATCCCATCGTGTCAGTCGACGGACGGCCCCGATTCGTTCAAACAAATATTATAATCCCCGTCACGTCTCATCGTTTCCCTCTCCTCCCGCTCCCCTTTTGCTTCCTGTCCTGCTCCCGCTCTTCGCCCCGAGTAGAAGGTCTGCACCCTAAAGAAACTGTTTTCTCCCCTCCTCCGCTCGTAATGATGCATGGGTTCGGTCGTGTTCTAATATTCTCGCTTCTTGAGGGAGAGCGATCTATCGATCTCTTGTATTTCTTTTCCTTCTTTTGGTATTCAAGAACGCAATTTAGGTTTCCCTTGTGAGGATCTAACGAGAAATTGCTTCTTGCTAATCCTCGTTGTGCGGATGTCATATTAAAATACTTTGATTGTTGCATCAAGTGTTGGATTACAATGCCGTGAGGGACAGGTCATCGTAACTCCTTAGGTTTCTTTGGAAGCCTGTTTGGAGAAAAAGAAGGTGATGATGGCTAATCTCCACCTGTTCAGGAATTTGCATCTCATGATGTCGAAGCCCATGTCAGTAGTTACTTGCACAGCTATTCGGACTAAGTTTTGGTTCTGATAAAGCTGTTCTTCTCTTTCGGCAGAGTCCTTGTTGCGTTCTTCCTCATTGTTTTGGGTTTTTAGGTATGTGTGTTACGATTGAATTCCTCGTAGGTTATTGTGGTGGACTTGGATATGTTTGATGTTAATGTGATCCAGTAGGAAATCAAAATTTAGTGGTTCAGATTTGAAAACCTGTTATCCTTTATGAATGGAACTGGCATCGCGTAAGAAATTGTTGGAATGGGAGCAATATCAGGGATGAGATAGCTACATCGCGAATTGGAAGGATGGAGGGAGGCAGGGAGAATTTAATAGCAGTAGCTCCCATCTGCTGCTAAACTAAGAGATGATGTTCTTGTATTTATGATGGATTCTGTATGGGAGATTGCATGACTTGGTGAGCTTGGAAGATTAAGTAGGAATATTTATTTTCGTTGAAAGTAAGAGCAGAGTGTTTCAGGGACGAGTGGCAGAGTAGCAGAATATGTGTGACTTCTGCAATTTGACTTCTACATTCTTGCCTGATAGCTTAATCCATAAATATTCTGTCCAATAATAAGGAAATTAAGATCTCTGTATCCATCAACATGTGTGTTATGGTGTTTCACTGCTTTAGAATGGTCAAAGATTATTAAGTATGCTCATCATGAAGTTTGTTGAGCTGAAATTTAAATTTTAAATTATTGCCTTATGTTTTTACTATTAGGTATTTCTAATGTGTTAGGTAATTTTCCGTCTTGCTGACTGTTATCGTCATCTCTATTCCTTATCTGGGAGAGAAGGTTGGATCCATTATGTCATGATAAAGGCCAATGATAGATTGCCTTTCAGCAACCTAGTTATGACAAACAGTTGTGGAGCTTTTAGTTCCCCTTTCCGGCTATCTCATGTGCTTTTTGCATGTGTATGGACTGGCTTGCTATATGCATTAAGATTCAATCAATGCTTAATTCCACACTTCACAAAACTTAGTAAGCATAATTTCCAATTATATAGTCATTGTGCTATTATCCTTGCATTATATGTTTTCTACTTTTATATAATCAAAGTCCGTATGTATCCAAAGCTATATGTTCTGGCACATGATTTATTCTATCCTTATGGTTATTTTGGTAAGTTTCTATTACTATTGTTTTCTTAATACTCTTTTGCTCCAAATAAACACAACCGCAAACCATAGAGTCAATGATTTATATCTGTGAACCAGCAGTTATTTAGTCCAACTGATCCGCACTTGGTAACACATTTGTTGAATTCACCTGGTAGTCGTGGCAAATGCATGCCAACCATAGCACCAATATTCCTTCAGGAGCTACTGATCGAACGATGATACCAAAATGTGAGTATGTTCCAAATTTGATCAACTCAAGCATGCAAGAAGATGAGATATATGAAGATCCCGATAGGTTAGTAGTTTTAGGTCATTTCAATATCTGAACTGCATCTGACTCAGCACCAAGGATGCTAACTTCATCTGTTATTAACAGTCCTGCTGGAAAAAAGAAAAAAGCACCACGAATCAAAGGTTGGGGCCTGCGCAGGTTCAGTACAATAGGTGAGGAGACATGGGTAGTTATATTCACAGTCTACCATCAGCTTTGTCCGAACTTAGTGTCAATAGCATCTTATTTTGCCAAACCATATTTGTTTCCGTTTTTTTCATATCTTAGTTTATCTTCAGAAATGATGTCTATTTACCAGAATCTGCCAACTGAATAACATCTGTTATTACTTGATCAAGGCTTACATATCGAACATTGTGTTTTCTTCAGTTCATCTTAGATCATTATATTTAGCTTCTCACATTGCTTTTAATTTTCTGTCCAGTGTGTGATAAGGTCAAGGAAAAGGGAAGAACTACTTATAATGAGGTAAAGATGACAACACCTTCCTGTTGTTTTTCGTCCTTTGCATAAACTTCTATTTGCATACCGAATTGCAATTTTTCATGGCATTTTCGTTTTAAACCTTAATATTGCAAAATATCTGTGTTAATATATTTCTTAAAATAATAATGTGTGTCAAGGAGAAACTCATTATCATGGTTTTTGCCTTAACAACAGATCATATGTTTCTTTCTCATGAAATAGACATTTGAAACAGTTAAATGCAGTATCTATGGGCATTGGACATTTCTTGCCAGTTAACATCTAAAATGTAAGATCACTTATAGATAGGTGAATGTTTCCACAATAATGCTCTCATATTCAGTTGGAACTTCTATACTAATTTTTGTGTTGTTTATTGGATGTGGGTAACAAAAAGGTCTTTTGATCATATACTCTCATGATATGATGCTCATGTAGAGAGAAAACTTGAAGCTTCCACCCTTCATAGTGAGGATGCTACCTTTGGCGAATATAATAGAGGAAGAATATTATCTTCATAAAACTATCCAAACGAATGGTTTTAAAAATGAAGGTTATCGTTGCTAAAATAGATCTACCATCTCAACCTATACTCTGTTGCGGCAGAAATGCGACCATCAAATGATTGTTTCTTGTCTGTCAGGTTGCAGATGAAATTATATATGAGTTATCATCCCTGGAGAAAAAAGATCTGCAGTTTGTGGTTAGTTCTATACCAAGAGATATTTAGTTTTGGGTAGTTGTTTCACAAATTCATGTTCCAAGATATTTATACTATTATGGTCTTTGGCACGGGCAGTTTGATGAGAAAAATATTCGGCGGAGAGTTTATGATGCATTTAATGTTCTAATGGCAATTAACGTTATTGCCAAGGACAAAAAGGAGATCAAGTGGGTGGGTTTTCCTTCTACGGAAACTGAAGAGTTGGCACAAATAAAGGTTTCTTTCATTTATATAGCAAAGACCAACTAGAACTCTTATCTACAACTTGTATGATTCCTGAATAATTCTCTTTTTGTAGGAAGAGAAAATGAAACTGCTAAGTAAGATCGAACAAAAAGTAAATTATCTAAAAGAACTGGAGGAGAAGGTCAGTTATTTCTGTGGTTGTTCTTGCCCATTATGTGGTGCTAAGTCTCACAGATGTACAAATCTAGTTAGTTACTCTTCTGTTTCAGTTCTGTTAAAACCTGCTCTAGCTGAACATAGTCCTGTTTTTGGTTCTTGAAGTTTGGAGATCTCCATAATCTTATTTGCCGGAACCGAGTAGCACATAAGTCGGCAAGTGTTTCATCGGAAGGGATAGCTCTGCCATTTTTGTTGGTCCAGGTATGTGGTCCTTATTTTTAGAAAGTACATTCTACTGAAACAGCTTTTGAAGTCATGCAAGGATTATCTGGAAATGGCACGACTCATTAACTCATGCATATTTGCATGTAAATGTTGCTTTTACTTTGTCAAATTGATGGATGAAATTGTGCTTTCATGTGAAAAATTTCTGTTAAGAAAATCTCGCCTTTTTGTTTTGGTTTTATTCTTCTTCTGTTAAGCAAATGTAGTATGTCAAGTACGGGATATCTTTTGCTTCATTCAAGTGAATCTTAAGATGGTACCATTTCACCATGTCTTTTATATTTGCTAACATCAACTTTCTTCGAGTTGGACAGACGACTCCAAAGGCCACGGTCGAGATTGAGATCTCAGAAGACATGCGGTCCGTGAACTTCGAGTTCAATGGGTACTGATGCTTTGTGTCATCATATTTGCTCACCCAATAGATCTGTTATAGTTTCTCGGCTTCCACAATTTTAGTAGGGTTAAGTTGGATTTTCAAGTGTGAACCTTTGTTTCTCTTCTCATGTGTTCTGTGATGCTGCACATTTTCTTGTTGCCAGAACCCCATTCACCTTGCACGATGCTGATTCCATCCTCAGAGCCATGAGGCGCCCCACATCAGTCGAAAGGGGTCATGACAACAATAATTCAACAGAGAGCCCAGAATTGGTCGCTGACCAAAATTGTCAGAAGCTTCACCCTGCTTCTTCGTCATGAAACTTGGACAGGTTCAGGAGACACTGCTTAGAAAGGAATAGCAGATAGGAAGTTTGGTGATTCAAACATAGGATAGACAGAAGTCGAGGCATTCTGTGCGTGTACAGTGTCCCTCAATTTTGTAAACCAGATGGTTTCTTCATTGAAGATCCTTTTGTAGAAAATATTTAACATGGTTTTCGCCTTTGTGAGTTTGATCATGTTAATTTCGCCTTACATGTAACATCCTATTAGTGATAATGTGTTGCATGTGCCACTCTCAAAGAAGACCAAGGATCATATTGAAGTCAAGGCAGCAGGTTATTGATGTTATCAGACATCTAAATAAATCTGAGAACTGCTGCTGATGATGATGAGGTTGGATGATAATATTTGATTTTAATTTTCCGTTCCTTTAAAACATGATAACTTTTTTAAAATCTTCAATGAAATCTATAATCGTCTTACCTTTGATTTTTTTTTTTTTTTTTTTTTTTCTTTCTTTCTTAGACAACGTTGCAAAATTAATATTGGATTTGTAGTCGATATTTTATACTTATGCATTTTATAAAAAAAAAATTACTATAAATTAATTAAAATTATTAAATAAAAAATGATTGTCTGACCTTTTTGTACTGTTGCTTCAATTCAGTATCACTAGTATTATTCTAAAGACGCTTTTGTGGCCCTTGTTTCAACCGAACTGATACCTTTCGATGGGCCGTTTCGAGAGCCCAACTGATCCCCGTTTATTCCACGTTTCGGTAAAGCCGTTGCAATGCTTTGCGACGCACGCGGCCGAGAAGAGACGAGCGTGCGTGAGGAGAGCCGGAGAAAGTAATGCGACGGTGGCGAGCGGCCGTCCCCGGAGCAGAACCAGTGGTAGAATCTCTGACCTCGATGGTATCGTCTCTCTCTCTCTCTCTCTCTCTCTCTCTGTCTTCCTCTGCTTCGATGGCTCATTTCAGTCTTAGGTTTCCTCGTAAAGCTCGGAATTCCCGCTTTTGTATGAATCCTTGGGGTCAGGTTCCTTTTGGGGTCGATGGTTAGTGGTAATGGAGGACGCCGACGCACCGCACTATCTGCTCCTCCCTTTACTTGATGGGGAGCTGAGGCGTTGCTTGGCACGCTGTTCTCTATTATCTTCTTCCGAGGAGGACGGGCCACAAGACCAGGTGCTTCTTCCGCTCTCTATCAGTTGATGGAGTACAGGGTAAGGGTTTGATCAAATTCGGCAATCTTGTCATATTCCTTTTATTTCCTTAGTTGATATTGGCTTCTATTGCTCAGCACATATAATGCTTCAAACTATGGCAGCATGCGGAGGAATTATAAGCAGAACTAAACAACAGTTTGGCACATTGGCCAAGGTTAAGAGGAGACAGGGATCATAACTTGGACTCTGTTATATGAATAGTCTCCTGGCCTATTTGATTGGTAATCTAGGGAGTACCACAGACTACAGATGTCCTTAGTGGATATCTATATTGTAGATGGATACAAGTAACTTATCTCACTAAGCTTTTGTTTATGAATGGTATTATCATATTTGGTGACTCCAGATCATTTAAATTTTGTGTGTTAAGTTTGCATCTCTTGACTTGATCACATTTAGGTGTGTTGTATGTTCCTGCATGTCATGCTCTAGTTGCTATAGACATTGTTAATTTTCTTGCAAGTGTGTTTTCACCTTGACTTATGTAAATTTTATTCTCTTAAGCCATACTTGTGTTTAATTTTTATCTTTCTGCATGTTACCCGGTGAGCTGCTTAAACCATAATAGTTAAAATGATATCTGCAGATGTTAAGTTGGAATTCATATGTGACTTTGATTTGCGAAAGATGTCCAATTTACTGATTGCATGATTAGAATACGGTGTCCAAGTGAAGTTTAGGATGGTGGGGATACGGTTGAGGTCTTCTCTGAGTCCATGAACCTTATTTATTAAACATGAAATCATGTCTTCTCAAGCAAACCTTCAAGAATCTCCATTGCATCAAGCTTCTAAGCCTCCTGTATGTTTCAAGTCAATCATAACCACAAACAGATGGCCAATCAATATTTGACTTGCAGCATGATTTACCTATTTGTCCTTCATATCCTCAAATTTCTAGCAATGGAGGAAGCTGGGCTCAAATGAACAACAGAATGGAGGCTCTTCAAAGTCCCATTTCTTTAGCTCAGATTCATGCACAAATGCCCCTTCTGGTAAACTAACTCACAGATTCATATGGACATTCCTCCCAGTCTCAAGTTTGGACAAGCACATAAGGTCAGGAGGCTAGCCAAAGCCAAGATATATATCAAATGGCTGATGCTCAAGTCTAAATCTAAACTCTCATTGACCAGCATCTACACCAGAGAATGAACAATATGGAATATGGATATTCTCAAAGTTCCGTCATTTGCACCCCATAGCTGGCATTATTGTAAGCAATAGTTTTAGAACACTAGCAACAGTAGCAGCAACTGACTCAACTGGTGCACGATATCTCAGAACAGATATTCTAAGAATTCCCAGGCGTAGCAACTGCAGGAAAAGATTTTCTAGCAGATGACACTGCAGCATAGCTAACAATTGATCCAACCGCAGCAGCAATAAGACAACAACTTAACCAACGGGACATCCAATGACACCCTTTCTTGTGACAGCACAACCATACCCAAGAACCTCAGGAGCAACTCCAGCTTCAGGGACAGAATCAGCAGGCTAATTAGACACTGATGTATCTGCTTCTGCTGCATTTGTTCCTGCCAGCGGCAGCTTCAACGACTACAGCATCAACAACTTTTAGTACTGCATCAACAACCAGAACAGCAGCAGCAAATCAGTGCATCAGAAATTCAAGTGTGGCCCACGACCGCTACTTCTTATCTTCAGGATAGAGTCCATTGAGATTGAATGATAGGTACTCCTGTTGGGTATTGAATCTGGTTTCTTTGGAAACTTGTTTTGCTTCTCCTGTTTCCATTTAGAATGTTTTATATTTTCTGATCAGCTAACTCATTCACTTTTTAAAACAGCAAACTGCCTCTGTTCAACATGCAACCAACTTGCAACTTTCTGATCAGCTTACTCATGGCCTGGAAGTTGACACTTTTCAGGTGAATTCTCTGTGTATTTTTTCTTTTATGAGTGGACATGAGAATTTGATGTACCAGAGCTTGCCCTTGATAGAAAATTTCTATACCTCTGCCTATGAACTAGTTTTTTGTAATATAAATGTATAACTGAATTTAGCAAGGCATGTCGCCTCTGCACTTCTAGATTCACAAAGGGTCTAGCTGAATTTTGTAAGGTTGCTTCATGGTTCTACAAGTTTAAAATGCATTCGATGTGGTAAATCTTCCTGCCACTTACTAGCCTTGTAGATTTTTAAGCATGTCCTTTGTTGCGTAAGTTTTGGCGAGGAAGTTGCCATCGGCTTTGAAATCTGATATGTTGCTGGTTAATCATAAAATTTTACCTAGTTGACCTGTAACGTTGGGAAATCTCCTTGGAATTGTATACTTCATAAATTTACCTCTTGAGATTTGGTGCAAACACATTTTTTCTTTTACTGGTAAGTAAGACATAGTGATGTATGTGAAATGCTGAATGGTGAATTATTTTTATATTTGACACTTTGGTTAATACATATTAGAATAAAGGACAAAATTTTTATTTGTATGTTATGTCTCATTCTTATAAATTTCTGATAAAAGAAAGGTGAAGAGGCTAATCTGTTGAAAGCTGTGCAACTGGTTGGTGCCGTTTTCCAATTCTTAGCGAACTGCTATAAAGCAGTTCACCATTTCTCTAATCGCACAACTTGATGGTATGAAGCTTCTTGTACTACTGTACATTTCATGTGGTCGTACCATCAGATTAAAGGAGACATGAATGCATCATCATCTGTTAATTGGTAGCTATATCTTTCCACTTTAATAATTGGTTTGTTGATTAAAAATATTGTAGCAGATGGTTACATGGCATGACAGTTGTTCTCTTCAATTAATAAGGTTTCTTAATTTGTTAAATGATTCTGAGGGATGGCATCTGAGTCAAACTATTCTCTATTTGATGAAATCAAGGATCGCAATCTCGGTACCAAATCCTGTGTTGGTTGATGATCGGGTTGTACTGGTATGCATATGCTGGAGAAAAGTGAAAAGATTCGATAAACCCCGAAAAAGGAAGAAGATATTTGTTTGTCATATTCTCTTCATCTTCACCTTTCTGTGCTGTGTTTTGGTATTTAAAGGGAGAGGGGTATTGTGTGATGAAGTGAATTGTTGCATTAAGACTAACAAGTGTTTCCACAACCTTGTACCCTCTGTGTGTGAGTCTTAAATTAGGTTTAGACTGGTCTCAGTAGCCACAGACTCAAGATACCAGACCAGACCTCTCCAGAACTATTTAGATTCAATTCAGCTCTAGATTCCATAGAATTCAATTGGTAATTTGTACATAATCACAGGTTGCTCCATGGCCTGATCCTTGTTTGGACTTGCATGTGCTTCCTGGACCAGGCATTATACTGCAAAATTGCATCCATGGATTGTCTTGGTTAAAATTTGTCTTGTGGTTTGTTGTAGACATGGCTTGATCCTCGTTTGGACCTGTATGTGCTGCCTGAGTCAGTCATTATACTGCAAAATTGCATCCATGGATTGCCATGGTTAAAACATGTCACATGGTTTGTTGTAGAAATTGCCTGATCCTTGACTGGACTTGTATGTGCTGCCCGAACCAGGCATTATACTGCAAAATTGCATCCATGGATTGTCTTGCCTGATCGTTGATTGGACTTGTCTCATGGTCTGTTGTAGACTTGGTCATATATATAATCCTGATCTTTTGCCTAATAGTTTCAGAGTAATCTGATATATTGCCAACCAATATATTAGATGTATATTAATTATGGAGAATATCATATATGTTCAAAAAAAGTCAGCCCTTTGGGCATCCTAAATCAGAGACTATGGGATGATATAGTGAATTCATCAGTAAAATTTTCAACTTGTCTGTTAGAATGAATAGTAATTTTTTTTTTTATCAGTTCAATAAGCTTTCATAGCTCAATGATCTTTGTAAAATTTACTGGCATTATTCTCAACATTGCCTATGCATTTTTTTTTTATGAGAATGTTGTTGTTATCCTTGGAAGGTAAGAAGCCAAGCATCACCAGTCTTCCTCCAGCGAAGGGCCCCTCGTGTTGCATTATTCCATGCTTAATATTTGTTGGTCCACATATTACCAGGAAAACGACAAA